GGGGAATTGATTTAAATCAAAGTGAATTTTAAGAATCAGATTTTTTTGACAATTAAAATAAATCAATTTGATTTTAAAAAATCATTGATTTTTATCCATCATGAAAGTGCAGCAGAAAGCTGAGACATGTCACAAGGAAATACAAGAGATATAACATCCCAAGGATACAATTGAACACACAGAAGCCTAGAACAAGCACCAAGGTAAGTACAACCTGGGGCTCCCATTGCCATAATACTGTCAAACTGGCCCTCTTTATTTCTATTTCTTAAGTACAATTCACAAACATATATTTTTGTTGTTTCCAAGAACTCTCACAACACTGTTGTAAACTGTTACCAAGGCATCTGCAGTATCAAGTCATTATAAATCATTTCATAGCTACTGAAATGGAGTTGGGAAGCCTCCGGCTCCAAAAAACTGGATAAACAACCTTATTATATTTCAGGTACATTTTAAAAACTATCTTAGAAGAGTGTAGATATCAAATCCTCTTCTGCTCCACTGCTTCTTTTGTTCCATTGCTTCTGTGATAGATGTTTTGGGAATCTAAGCTAAAATACTTGAAGATATTCTCAGATGAAGGATTCTTCTATATCAAACACATACCATTAATATAGCCAACATGTGATATATTGGTCCCTACAAATCTAAGGGATGGGTTTTAGGACTAGCATATGTAGCATTTACATCACTACACTGTAGCAGGACTATTGCAAGCACTGTGGAGAATTATGACCCAGAACCCCTTTCACTTATTGAGAAAAACAGGAACAGTACAAATTAATGTATGTCACTACTAAAACTTTACAACTTAATCTTAGTGAACACACATTTATTATTTTATGAAGGCCTCCTCTGAATAATCCACACTTGTTAAGCCTTTACTGCTTTCCAATTTCTAGGAGGCATTCCACCCTAGTTAATCTCAGTCTGCCTTAGGCACAAACTACAAGACCTGATTATCCAGAAGAGCAACAAAAACCATAACCCCTCATTTTCCCAATCTCTTGACAACCTCAATAGTAGTAAAAGAATTTACCTGAAAAGCCACATCTGATAAGATTCTGTCTCACAATTCAGAAGATGGGAGAACTTTGAACAGTCTCTGTAGATTTAATTATTTTATTTAATTATTTGACAGGTTCATGTGGGATTAGGTAGTCAAAATGCCTTCTGAATTAAGCTTGTTCTGCAACATATGAGACATCTCAAGCCAGGAATAACAAATAGAACTACTATGCAACTGATGAACTGACAACATAAAGCAGTTTCAGAATTAGAAGGCTGAGTACAGTATTCACAACATCTTTTAAAAGACTGATGCACACATACACAACTGCTAAGTCTTCAGATCTCCAGCATTTTCTTAGAGAAGAGTTTAACTCAAACTAACAGAAGGATAGGATAAAAACAGAAACATTAAAGACAGAAGCCAGCACTAATTTACTCAACAGCTGACATATAAAGGAAAGCAAATCACCTAACATACACTGGTTTGATTCGGGTATGTAACACTGAACCACAGTGCTTCATGAATAAAATCTGCACGTCACACACTGATACTATAAACTACTTTCTCTGTGGTCCAAATCAGTTTGCAATAACTTCTGGATAGAAAGGCTTTATTACAGCACTGAATTGTTTGTTCTTGCCATCCTATCCAACTTCAAGTTGTTATCACCTCATCGTACGGAATCTGTAATAGCATCTCATTAGCACTAAATCTGGTTACTAACATACAGTGCTATTATAAGGTAATTTATCATTCACTGTATCGACTCTTGCAAAAGTTTGCTTCTAAAATGGGTCTTTCTCACTCTCTCCTGTAGAACAGTGGTTCTTAACCTTTGTTACTGGGATGTTTTTGAACTGCAGCTCCCAGAAACCCCAGCCAGCACAGTTGGTGATGAAGGCTGCTGGGAGTTGCAGTCCAAAACTCCTGCGTAACCCAAGGTTAAGATCCAGTGCTGTAGAGCAGTGGTCCTCAACCTTGGGCTTCCAGATGTTTTTGGACTTCAACTCCCAGAAATCCTGGCCAGCAGAGGTGGTGGTGAAGGCTTCTGGGAGTTGTAGTCCAAGAAAATCTGGAGGCCTAAGGTTGGGGACCACTGCTGTAGAGTATGGCAGCCACAGGCAAAGGCAGGCATATTACACCAAGGGATACAGTGGGATTGGAAAATTACCAAAACATCAGCAGAGGCAACTTGCTTCAACAGATATTTTGATTTAGTCCTGTCATAATCACCATCATGTGCCATCAAGTCATCTCTGACTTATGGCAACCCTTTTCAGGATTCTCCAGGTAGAGAATGTAATCTACCATTATCTTCTTCTGAGAGTGCCCTGGCATTGTGAAGTCTGCCCAAGGCCACACAGGCTGGCTGTACCCAACAGGAGGAACAGTGGGGAACTGAACTCCCAACTACTGGCTCCACAATCAAATCCTGTAGCTCGCAATTCACCTCCTGTTCACTGTTTCTTTCTCACCTGAGCTTCATTTATGTATCTACCTAGTCAATGGCAGAAATCTTGCTGCTTAGCGTAGTAAATTGAACCAAAGCAGGGCCAGTGGGATGTGGTGAGTCAACTTCTCCATAAGTTACACTGATTCAAATGGGCCTACTCTTGCTGCAATTTACTATGCCAAAGTAGGCTGCAACTAAAGCAGGCCCACTTAAATCAATGGAACTTACAGACTCACCAAATTCCCACTGACTCAATGGGCCTACTTGAGTGCAACTTATTACATGAAGCAACAAAATTTCAACTTCTATGCAATTTTGCTCTTATAAAGTACATACACACAAAGTTTCTGAATTTTCAGTACTGTATTTTGAAAATGATGGCAATATATTAAGAGATTATGAAAAAATATATTAAGCATTATTAATAATTATGTGCTGTCAAATCTGACTTATAGCAATCATTTCCATGGTTTTCTAAGTATAGTGTATCACTTCCTTCTTATGGGTGCTTAGTATCTAAATAACCTATCACAGAATAAATGGATTTCTGCTTTGTAAAAGATACTGCACTGATGTTTGAAATTGCCTCAAAATCAAGCAGTCTAAATGGGAAACACTGAAGTATCTGTATAGCAAATTACTGCAAGTACAGCCATATTCTGAAAATGTCAAGGATTTGCAATACATAAGAGCTACACACCTACACTATACAGAACTAGATGTAGAAATGGAAAACATTTTATAAAATAATAGTTGTGAACATCTCACAAGACACCACTGATTGGAGATTTATATCACATTCCAAAGGTATCAGATATATCACATTCCAGGGGTACTGTATCAGCAATAAAGGTAAGAGTACAATGTAACCCTTCCTACAGTCAGACCTCTCCCAGAAGATGTATAATAATTATGTCAGTTTCTTGTCAAATTACTCTCTGACACAGTCAACTTCTAAAGATTCCATGTTGCTAAGTATGCTTAAATGTTGTCATCAATTCTCAAATACATTTCTCAATAAATTTCCAAGCCACTGAAAGAGACTGGCGCAGACTATTGTACTGCATTTGTTTCATAAAGTGAAAGGACAAAAACTTTGTTTACAAAAAAAAGCTGCTCTACTCTTTAACAATTCATACCAAACAAGCTTTTCATTTTTGCATGGTAGAGTTATGATGCTATTTATGTTATCATTATTCACCCAAGATCTACATAGCCACTTTCATCAGTTGAAACAAGTAAATGGACTCCCAGGTAGGAAAATTCTGGTAATGTGGAAGGAGTAGTGTGTGTAAAGTAATAATAAGTACATGACATAAAGTCAATTCCAGCTTGTAGTGGGTTTTTAGTAGTCAGAAGTGGTTTACTATTATCTTCTGGAGATGCTCCAGAACTGTGCAGGTTGCCTAAGACCACAAAAGCTGCTCTTCTCCTGGAAAGCACAATGGGAAATCAAATTCCTGAACTTTGGCTCAGTAGTCAGGTATCCAATTCACTGAGCTCTCCAGCTAACTCATGCAAATAGGCTAGTAGATACTGCTGTGGACTAACATTTTGCAGATATACTCTTTCATCACCAGTTTTCAATAGTAGCTGTCAACAGCTACTAATCATGACAACTACTAAATATTTTATTCAATATCAAACGCAGTACGTCTCTGTATATTAACTGCTGAGAAGAAAAAGAAACTGTACATTTATATTCTACTTGTGGTCTTCCTGTAGGCAACTGATTCACTGCTGTGTGAACAGAATGCTGCACTCTGTATATCTGTGGTCTGTCCTAGCATGGCTCTTTTTATGTTCTCATAACTAAAATATGTGCTTGTGCAGCTGCCATACAATTCAGATTTTAAAACTTTACAAACAAGCAACCTCAATAACAGATAAAGAATTGTGTCACTCAAAATTTTCCCACTTAATTTCTTGAAAATTGATATTAGAATAATTTGATGTAGCGCTGCGAATAAGAATTTTAATTGTGTGATACACACTTCAAACTAAGACTTCACAAATTTAACACCTGAAATCCAGCAGCATAACTTACACTATGTAAGGTTAATTATGTCATCACTGACAGCACCTTTTTTTTAGAAACTAAGAATTTCTGATTCTCTCTAAGGCTCCCTGATGATCACTTTCATGGGTTAATTTCTGAAAATCACAGCCACCAAGGGAAGGTTTGGTAAGCTAACATTTGAGAAAGATGATAAAATGATAGATGAGTTCTGAAATACAGCCAAAAGGCATGGTATTTTGGAACTTTTCAAAGCAGTTGTACTCTATTAGATATAAAATAGCATCATAAAGGTAAATTCTTCACCCAACCATCCAGTATTCTAAAGGTACTACTGTGAAATATTTATTTATTTGATTTATACCCCGCCTATCTTAGTGATTTACTATTGTTTTGTGCGTACTGCAAAGCCAACATCTAGCAGCCTGTGGTTTAACTTGCTCTGTTTTCCATCCAACGAGACCCTCCCAGTAGGAAAACAAAGTCACCCCCCCCCCGGCTAAGTGCTAACCAACCCTGCTTCTGGCCAGCGAGGAGCCGGATGGCCTTGGCTCTGAAGACTTCTGTTATCACCTTCGCCGTGAACTCGCCAGGGTGGACATCTCGGGATGGGAGAGCCGGCTGCCGGGCCTGTTTCCACCACCACCACCCCCGCGGGAACGAAAACAATCACACTCAGCGACTGTAGGCGAGGAGACGGCTTTAAAGTATGGTCAAAGCAAAGTAAAGGTAAAGCAGGGGAGATGCCCGTCTCCCTTTAAAGCCACGTAACGTGCCGTGTTTGTTTCCACGCCAAGCGCAAGGGTGGTGGTGAAGGAGCGACCGCCGAGCCAGGCCGTAAAAGGAACCGGGGGGCGGGCGAGGAAGGCGAGCGGAGAGCCTGCCCGGTCAGAAGGGTTCTCCGTCAGCAGCTCCCGCAGCCCGCCTTGAGGCGAGTCTCCTCCCCACTAAGCCCTCCGCTCCCACCGGCAGCCCAGGCCCTGGCAGCGAGTGGGGCCTCCAGTCAGCTGGAGCCCATTAGCGGCGGGCACTTTCTTCCTCTCCCTCCCTCCCTCCCGGCAAGGCAGGGGCGCTTCTCCCGCAAGCCCGGGCGTCGAAGGGAGGAGTGGCCCCGCCGCTCGCCCCCTCCACTCCACTCACCGATGAGGCGCCGCACCTCCTCTTGGCT